TAGGGAGCTGATAGAAAAAAAATAATACAATTATAAAACAACGAACTACATATCTGGTGTTAACACGACAGATCAGATTCATTGTGAATTTAATGACTGTGTATTGTTATCTCAAGTCTGTGTGGAGATCAACAGCACTACTCAGCATGAAAAATAAGATCCGGATTTTCAACTCCTATGTAAAGTCAGTGATACTTTATGGATCAGAGACTTGGCGCCGTGCCGAGTCACGAAGGGCACTTCAAACAAGCTGCAGACCTTCATCAACAGCTGTTTTCTCTCGACACTACTCAAGATCAGATGGCCAGCCAGAAAAGATCACCAACAGCGATCTCTGGCAATAAGCGAACCAACCCAGCAGGAACCAATTGTGCAACGAATATGCAGGAACAAATGGAGGTATATTGGTGGAAATTCTCTGAGAAAACAAACCATTATCAAGTGACATCACATGCCAGGCTCTCTCTTTCTCTCGAGTGGAAGCCGAGCGGGAAGTGGCGAGTTGGTCGTCAGTGCGAGGGTGACGTGGAGGGGCAGGTGATGCGAAGAGGAGATGAAAGCAGTGGGTAGACGTGGAGCCTGCTGAAAACGTTGATGGAGAACCGAAGACAATGAGTATATGCGGTTGAAGCCCTATTTTCCTCTAGGAACTAAGGGAAACAATAATAATTGTTATGTATGTTGATCTTTGGAATTGATTTTAGAGAATAATACTAGTAGAGAAACTGATAGATAATGCTTCTGGCTCAGGTGGATGTTTGATTTTTGTGGTGTTGTTTACTTTGAGTTTTGGATGGGTCCTGGTCGTCTCATATCTTGGCGATTTCTAAGAAAAAATATTCCGTCTTACCTTCTACATCAAGAAGTTAAAACATTCTGGTATAACCCAACCCTTACTCCTACAATTCGTTAATTCTCGCATTCTGCCTATTATTCTCTTTTGTTCCCCCTTAGTTTTTCCAGGGCTACTGAAGAAAGACTATACCCTATTACGCAGGATGTTAAAGGTTGTCAGCGGGGTAAGCAATGTGCCACTTAACCAGCTTGTTAATATTCTGATCGACAGGCACATGGACTCATGAGAAAAATGGGCCAAATCCATTTTATCTAACTCACACCACCCTCTTCACTAACAACTCTCCCCTTGCATCTCATCAGGTAAAACCAGAAGCCTATATAGGAAACTATATGCTCGCACCAGCAAGTACAAAAACTTAACCATACCCTACTTAGCTCGTGTTCTGTGTGATAAACAAAGCATTAGGCGTGACACCTATAATTCATTAAATAGTCAGTAGTACAACTGGACCTCGTCTTTCCAACTCATATCATTTATAAGTACAACATTTTCTTTCTTTCTTTTCCTTTTCTCTCTCTCTCTTTTCTTTTTTTCCGTTATGTGCTGCTTTGTCTCTTTCTCTCGTTTACGCCAGTAAATATGATAGCACTTACATTTCTAACACCGTCAAACACTGTTCAGCTTTACCTTTGCTACCGACATGCCAATATGTTGTTGTCATAATGAACTGAGATTTCCTTAATCTATGTAGAATTTTATTTATTGATAATGTACTAACTGGATGCGCTACTGTAGTAAAAAGGCTGAAAATTCCATTCTGTATCACAAATACTGTTTTGGAATAAAGCAAATTATTATTATTCATTTCAAAGCTTTCTTTATCGCTTTCTAAACACTACAAATTCAGCACTGGTATCTTATTGAATTGATTATAATGTATCTGTTGTAGGCTTGAGTTTGAGTTATTGATCTTCATATACATGCATAAAGAGATTCGTGTTTGTGATAATGTGACTTTGTTGACTTTTAAAGGAAAGATATTGCTTAGACATTCTTTGTGTTATCTTTGACATCAGTTTACTTGGTGAAGATTTTAGGCATTAGTTAAGATTATTGAATTAGCGATACTTCAATGTGTGATAGTTAACGCTGTTATAGTTGACAGAATATATATATATATATATATATATATATAATATGTGACAATTGTCTCTAGTATTTTGTTGCATTGTTTTGTAATGTATTATTTCAAGCGAAACATTTATACAATTTCGGTATTTTAGAAGAACACAAATGGTTTGATCACTTCATTTCATCAGTGTTCTGTTTTTGAGAATGAGAATAACGTGCATAAACTGTGGTATACCTAGAGTTTGTACCTTTCAAAGTGACAGATTACGCCATACTAGTGATTTAATCCGAATGAGTAATTCTATTTGACATAGAATTGGGTTAGAAGAGAGTTAGAGGGCGGTGTTAATCAAAGCCTGACGTCAATCCATGAAGTCTTTAGCGGTTGGTTTATGTCAGCCATGTAGAGAGGTGATAAAATGTAGTGTCATCTGAACACCTTGCTTGAGGAGCAGCAATCTTCGAATGTTTAGCATGCAATTTGCTCCTGTCAAATGTAAGATGATGCTACCTAGAGACTGGACTACATCGATGGTAGGGCGTGTTGACAACTTCACTAATTAAGGAAGTTGCATTGCTGATGAAATCTCATCACGGATGCAGAGAGTTCGTGGCTGTGAGACCTGGCCATTGAGAGTGGAAGACATGAAAATATTAGCTATCTTCGATCATAGGTGCCTGCGTTCTGTCTCCCGTTTGAAGTGGTATAATAAGGTGAGGAATACTGAGGTTAAGCGTCTAGTGCTAGGAAAGGAGGGGAAATCAATCGACGAGGCTGTGAAGCTACATCGACTGAGATGGTTAGGACATGTGTTACGTATGCCTAGTCATCGCCTTCCTCGACGGTAAATGTTAGCTGACATAGGGTCAGGCTTGAAAAGAACTAGCAGCGGTCAAACGAAAACATGGCACCAGTCAATGAAATATACAACAGTTAGTTTTAGCCACGTAGGAAGGTGTAGACTTCCTGACTGGTTTGGGTCCTCGGGACGGTAAAAACCAATGGTTGGAAACAATTGGTGACATGGCTCAAACTCATCGTTCTCAATGGCGCAGATGCATCCACTCCTTGTGACTTATTATTTCCAGTGAAACTATATTATCCTTCGTTATTACTATTCCTTCGTTTCACATCTCTGTTTACTGTCTCTATTATGCATTTCTTCTCTTGCTTTGTGTGCTGCATGGAGGGAGTGTGTCGACTTGAACTGCCACACATCGGTGCGAAGTTCTATGTCGAAACAGACAGAAAGAGAGTTCGTGTAGAATTTGTCAACTTACGCCTCATATTTGACGTAGATCTGCTATCCGGCTGGCTATCGATCAAAGGGCGTGTGTACTGTGCTTCAGTTCACTCTGTTCTTCTTTGTGGTATATTCCATTGTAGCTATCACTGCATGGTCATACCGCCAGCACTCTCATACAACTTCCTAGATAAGATACACGAACTCATCGACAACTTCAAGTGGTTCACCTGCAAGGATGTTTATGGTAACTGAATTTATTTCTCGGTGTTTAATTGTAGTGTCCATGCATATATATATATATATATATCCCTTTGAAATAACACTTTACTGCTTAATTTTTATTCTTTTACAGTTAACAGAATTAGAGCGTAAAGCCAAACGTTTAGAGAAGTTTGGTGATGTTACCACCACAGTGTCGAAAAAAACTCCTATAGATGATGAATTGGCTAAAACGATTCGTGCACAGAAATTCGGTCTTGTATCAGCACCGTCATCATCATCAGCTGCAACAACAGCATCTACGGGAAGCAGTTTATCTGAAGCGGAAAGACTAGCTAAACGTCAAATGAGATTTGGTTTGGTTGACAGTAAAACATGACAGTTGAATAAATTTATATGCATATATATATACACATATAATTGTGATTGTATTATTTTATCAATTTTTATGTTCATAAAAAAGTAGTTATTCTCTGTGTTGTCTCTTCTATTCTTCTTTCTGTTTGTCAAAGTGAGCTAATATTAATGAGTGGAATTCACTCTTTATCTCTCTCTTTCCCTCTGTCTCTAACTTTGTTGCCTGTGAGATAAGCTTTCGTTGTACAAAGTTTGATAACTATACACAATAAGAGCATTTTAATCATCTTGACCAGACCTTATTCCTTCGCGTTGCGAATGGTCCATATGGCTTCAAGCTTGAGCTCTGAAGTTTCACTTGCAGAGTGGGGTTTATTTCTGATGGAGTAAGGTGGTTACTAGTCCCACCCACCCTGCCACCTGCCGTCTTCATTGAGCTTCATAACGGCCGCAGGGGGGAGTTGAACTCCTGACCATGTGTCTAGCTGAAGAGTACTCTACTACTAATGCAATCTGTTAAGCTATTAGCCACATTTAATGCATAAAACTTTTAATGCTGCTTGGATTGGGTGATAAGTCGGAATTTGTTCCTAGAGCTACGGCTGGAATGCTAAGTACGCGACAAATAGTTGTAACACTAATGTAGTGATGGAGGTTGATTATCAGAAATACACTGAGACTTATAATAGTTGGAATAAATTTTCCGACAGGTCCTACCATGGTTTTTTTCTTCCTTCACGTTCCCCAGTGGAACATAGGGCTTCAAGCTAGTGGCTTGAAGTTTCTGGAGCAGTGTTTATTTTACAGGATAGGGCTGCTAGCCAGCCACATGCCCAACCTTTCCTCTTCACCAGCATTATTTCTGGCTTAGCTAGGTAAAGGAGTGCGTCGGTGGCCGGGGATCGAACCCCGGACTTACAATTACATGATATCTATGCAGAAATAATTGAGGTATATACACGCGCAGGAAGCGGGAGGGACAGAAAAACAAATGACACCTTTACACATATATAAAATAGAATAAACAAGTAAGCTTTCTGTTGCCTAGTGAAAACATCTTTCATGTCACAGAAAGAAAAGATGAGAATCTTTTTTTTTTGAAAAAAACAGCAGTTAGGTTATAAAAACACACAGTTACTTATCACACTACTACTAAGTTAGGCATTAGAAGTATTTACATTTGAAGGTACAATATTACTTGTAACAATAATCCTGCCTGAAGAAGAAGAGGGATTGGTAACAGAGTTTTATGGAACAGAAGTATTCAAAGTCACAGGTGTACTATTATTACTACTATTATTAGTACTACTGATAACAATATTTATATTTGCAGGCGACTGTTGAGGTGGTTTACTGGAAGTGGTAGAACCGGGTGTAGTAGTGACATTATTATTCGTAGTATTGGTATTAGCACCAGCGACAGAAGTAGTACTATAAGTGTGAACACTATTACTGCTATTATTTTGATTCGCTATAAAAAGACAGTCGGCCAAACATGCATAGGCTGAACGATAATCCTCTAGTGTAACACCCAGTCCTTGACGTAAACGCCAATCATTGAGTACTGATGCAACACGATTCGTCATCAAGGTTTTCAAGGAATCAAATGATCTTTGATCAACTGGTGAAAGTTTACAGCCTAAATTTAAAGAAAGCACTGGATGTTGTTGTTGTTGCTTAGATTTTATCATATCAACACTTCCATGCATATTCAACTCATTCGTAGTGTTCATCACTGATGGTTCTGGTTCAGTTAGCTTAGTTAAACGATGACAAAGTGAGCTTAAATATGGAAATACTATAACATGTAGACACTGGGGACCGAATTCAGCCAATGCAACTAAAATGCCATACAATGTATTCATTGAGTGTACAGCACCGCCTAAACTAGGCCCATTGATAGTGTTGCTACTGCTGCCGCTGCCGACGATACCACCACCACCAGTGCTATTACTACTACTGGCAGTTGTACCAGTGCTATTGACTAGTTGTATTGAACGATCCCCTGCATCATATTTACAAAATTTCATTCCACTCAACTTTCCATCATCAGAATTCTTCACTGTCTCATTTTTTTCATTAGATACACTGACACTTGACAATTTCATACAAGAAGTGTCTGCTGTTGAATTTGTTGACGCATTTCCGTCAATCCAACTGCATAAGGCACGTGAAAGTTCACGAGTAACACGACTGTGTAATTCATTGCTAGATGTGTTGTGTCTGTTACATAATGTTATCAACTGTTTAGCCGCGAAATCTCTTAATGCCCAATGATTATCTGTAAGCGGTTTAGCGCATAACTGACGATTCAGTACACAGGTGATTACTGTAGGCACAAGCAAATGTAAATATGGTTCCAGTGAGATGTGTGGATTATCAATAAGCGCTTTAACTAGTCGCATTAAATAAATTAATATAGCAAGATTGTGATTAGTGACATTGATTCTTACACCCTCAGTGATAAATGTCATAAGATGAGGTAGTAATGGCTGAAGTCCTGGATCTAATGTTGCATTTTCCAAAGCTTCATGTCGTCGAGTTTCATTGGCGCCAACACAAGCTTCTGTTATTTCACGAAAATAGATCATCACTTCTTGACTGATCTCATGAGGACGACGCTCAACAGACAGTGCTAAAACTTTTCTTGGATGAGACGGCGATGTTGAGGCCGTATCGATTTTTTCTCGATTATTCTGTGAACTAGTCTTTGACTGCTTTTCATTTAGTGCATCACCATCATTATTATCACTATCTACGCCCATTCGTTTATCATTCTGTTTATTACTTCCAAACGAATTATTCAGTAAAGCCATTCTTGATAAAAAATCTGGTGGAGGATTCTGTGGTGATGTAGGCTGTTTACCGTTTACAGATAGCCAGTGAGCAACTAAACTGACATCATAAACAACTCCAGCAGGTTCACGTAATATGAGTGCTTTAACATCGATTTCCTTATCAGGCCGAATGAAGAACACTTTACCACCCGGACCTGAACTTGCCGTACGACCACCTGTACGCACTGGAAGAAAATTGGCTGTACTTGTTCCAAAAGGATTTTCAAGTCCAATTAAAACAGAGGCTAAATCGATATCTGATGCCTGTGGAGAGTCACGACGACTTTGTTCCATCACACGAAGTATTTGATGAACTAAAAGTCTAGCGATGTGATTCAAATTCTTTTGAAGAAGATTTGCTGCAGACTGTGATAAGTCTGAAACACCGCACATGTCAGCGCATAAAGTAGCAACATCAACACTAATCTCTTGTTTAGTTACTTTTTCCGTGACAACAGGCTGAAATTTCACTTGCTTTTGAGCATTACGAGACAATTTTTGTCTTAAACCCAATGTTTTACCTAGCGAAGAGGAAGGCTTTCTTAACAATTTATTTACTCGACGTTTTTCTGTAGATTCCATTTTTAGGTGTTTGCGTAATTAAGAACCAAAAGTTAGACTGTGAATATTAAAAATTCAAAGGTATGTGGATTGAAAGTGTCCTTCATGAAGGAAATGCATTTCTGCACATGTAACGCACCCTTTAAAAAATGCGCTTCCCCTACCATGGTAGAAACATCAAAAGGATAGTGGTTACTGGGATGCCTACATTTTGTTAGACGTTTGTGAGAGGAGTCGTACTTCTGACAAATATATAGGAGTAATAGCAGTAAGTGCTTCTTCCGGTTGAGTAACAGTGGTACCTTCGCTTTCCGGGTTGACGGGGTTAGAATAACTCGATGCTGAATCTTATGCACATCACCACTTACCGAACAACAGTGAGGCTTTTCGTACGGAAGATTAACTCCCAAGCATACAATGTGTGGTCTAGCTGAAACACTTGTCCTCTGGACTATAAGGTCACAATAATAGTCAATTTTGTTTTTAAGGTACTCGAAGAAGAAATCAGCACCCATCATGTGAAGAGCCTGAGAGTACGCACTGTTAACAGCACTCGACCTCACTAGAGAAAACTTAAGGATTTAGTACTCCTTATAAATGGTCGATTTCTGAGATATATACTCAGGATCTATATATAGCTATTCACTTTTCACCACTATTATGATAAATCTATAACTTCCACTCAGCGGACTCATTGATTAGTTCTCATGTATTCGCTGGTGTGTACATAATATCACCCTTAGCAGCAGCGGAAAACTAACTGGTCAAATGGATCGCAATGGGTGATAGTATGAGTGATTTCTGTGTGAATAGGGCTGTAATAATATAAAAGGTACCATTTTTATTTGTCGATAGCTTTTCGTAGTCTTCTATTATGCAGCCTCTGACGGGTTTGGTGATGATTTTCATCATAAGCTGTCCAGTTTACTGCCGTGACAAGTAGGGTACAGTAGATTGAAGATGGGGTAGCAACTCATCGAAGAAGACATTGCGAAATGGTCGTGAATTGGCAGAAGTTACAATTGATGGGCAATTGGATAGGTTCCTAGTGACTCAGGGGACTCTGAGCTCCCTAGCCTTGTAACCAGAAGGTCCTGGGTTCGAATCCTGGTGGGTGCGTACTGCTGAAGAGTCCCAAACTGGGCTGGCGAAACAGCTGCCCATTACTTCCGGGTGGTTTTCCAGTGGTTCTCTAACCTATGTCAGCTCATGGTGATATCCTCCAGCCAATCAGACAAAATCCCTACAAAACCAATGTTAGAAAATAATATTTTCAATTGACTAGATGATTCGAATGCACAGATAGAGAATCTGAATAAGACGGCAGCATTTTGCCATGTGTTTGTGGACTCCAGTGTGGAAGAAACTGACAACAGCGATTTCCTTTTGCAATTTCTTTCAGATAAAAGCATGTTTATGCTGATACTAACTTCACACATTGACCGCCAGCACCAGAAAAATGTTGTTTCGTAAATGGCTGCGTAGCTATAGGCGGTTATCGATGAACTGTTCTTCTACCTTAAGGTAGATGGAGGATCTCGGTTTCTTCCGAAGTACCGATGTACATTCCGACTATGCGTTAGTCAGTGTAAGCGTATGTTTGCGGCTTACTGAGCAAAGGAAACAAGCAGTTGCGAAGTCCTTATATGTCCAGCTATACGTGAGAATAGGAAATCTTCCTTTGGTGAGATAGTTGAACACACCTGAGGACGACGGGTGTACAGCTTCTGGGAAACCTGGCGCGATATCCAGCTCAGCTATGAAGACAGTTAGTTATGTGGTGACTCTAAATCATAGCAGTCCAAAACGAAACTATCTAATGAACGGATTAATGACCTTGACTAATCTATATACAAGAAGTGGTGTAACCTGACTACGAGGACTCCTGTGAGAAACTGCGAGATTTTCTTGGAACTGTTCTTCAGTTATTTCATTGGGTCTCAAAATCTACTTCTTGACATCCTACAATTGGCGGTGACTCTAAACTATAACAGCCCAAAACGGAACTACCCGATTAGCGGATCAGTGACCCTGAACAACCAGTCAGATAAGTCCATAGCATGTTGGCCAAATTGTGGGTTCTGTACACGAATTATGCAGTAAATTCTAGCCAAACTTAGTATTTAAGTACTCCTCAGATAACAGGCTCATCCCTGTGGTACATCGACAGCAAGGTGAATCATAAAGACGATTTCGTTAATCGTTTTCATGGGACTCACAAAATTACATCGAAAATTTCTACAGTCACCTAAAAAAGACGACAAGAGCAGTGAATGAGTAACAAAACATGATGATTCACAGTTATCTAGACGAATTTATTTACAGAAATTGGTGAAACCTGACTACTAGGACTCCTGTGAGACACTTGTTGGTTTACTTGGAACATATGCGAGATTATTATTCTGTGTAATCATTTTATAACACCACATTACTTGTACATAGAGGTTTATTTCAAATTATGCACTCCCACTTCTGACTCATTTGATTAGTCGCTAGAGGTAGTTTTGCCTCGGTCTGCTATGGTTTAGAGTCACTAGTGGGGCAAATTCAAACTTTAGGCTACATTAAGAACCAACAGACAGGTGGCCTTGAATGCACCAACCGCATAATAAAGGTGATTCTTGCGTACTAAATATATTTTCGTGAAGTTAACGAATTAAAACGATGTGAAACTGTTACACACGACACCTTACTCTGATGTGTGACGAAAAGACCCAGTGTTTTATCCTCAAATCAAAAATACCCTTCAGTTTTGGATTGGATTACTGATAGAGCAATTTAACCACACTCTTTCCATGTCATCATATAGGTTTCCTTACCCTGAAAATAGTCGTAAAATTTTAACCTAACCCTAACTTGAAAACGTCCCTAGAATAACCCTGATATAACTCGAACCAATCCTAATGTCTCCCTCGATAGGTTAACTTAACCCTAATCTTTTTCTAGCCTAAACCTTAACTTAATATTCCTCAAACCTAACCTGAAGCTCTTTAGATATCTGATTTAAAACCGTAACACCTTATTAAGCATATTTCATTGAAGATGACAAATTACTTTCTCACTGATCGTTTCAAAGTCATTGATGCTGCACACTTCACCGGTGGTTACTGGACTAGTTTACACCAGTGCTTATTTTGAAGACTGAGAGTGAATGTATTATACACAAACTATACATATATAAACATTATTTCTAACATCTGTTGTGCGGCTTGGTATTGCATACACAGTTAAGTTTCCTAGCATTTCAGTGCAGCTCGATCAGCGGCAAAGTTAGAGGAAAGCGATCCAAGTAAGCCGACTAATCAGCGAAAAGCAGGGTTCGTACGTAAAAATGCCACATATTTACAAGGAAAATAAAAGTAACAGTAAAGATTGCATTGAGCGGGGCACTTTCCCTTCACATGAATTAAAAATACGAATGGGAGAGTCACTACTGAAGTTAAGCCAATTCATGTGCATTTATTCACCAAGAAAGCTGTATATAATGTCGTTAGGCAATCCGTTTACTGCAGGAATCCGGTTTCTTAACCTTTCCCAGAAATCTAAAATAGAATTAGTATGTGTGTCGGCTACAAGATCAACAAAATCCGCTGAATAGTTAACCGTATGATGTACAAACCCAAAGATGTAAATCAAGTGTAAGCGGCTCATTCTTTCGTGTGAATGGTCGTATCTAGAACTGCTAATCTCTGTATTACTGACAAAAGTGTAACTGAGCCTTTATCATTCATTACTTCCACAAAACCTTTGCAAAGCAAGATATAGTACAACCTCAACATTCAAACATTTCTTCCCACTAAGGCGTCCACATTGTTTTTGTTCTGTATCGAAACGGTTTCATCTAAATTTTCAACGAACACAACATCTCCATAAATCTCTGTGGCGTTATTTATTTTAAGAGGTGCTAAACCAATGCAGTGTTGGTACTGTGGTGATTGGGTTGACGAGTGAGTAGACAAAATCAGAAAGGTGATAACGTGTTTTGGGCTCTAGAAAAAGCAGTCGAAGAAGAGAACTGTTAGGAGAAAGTCACAACAAGCTATCGGACCTAGTGATATCTGACCAAGTTGCAAATGATGTGCGAATAAAGACTTAATGATAAGGTATACCAAATTTATGTACCTACAATGGGTTTTTCCTGATAAACATTGCCTTCGATCTTCACCGGTTTTTACTTCTTTGCAACTGATGTTGCCGCTTTTGTTGTAGATAAAGGTACGTTGGCCTCACGTGTTCGAGGAGAGATATGTGGCGACATTCCCTAGGGACTTCGAAGTTGTCACGGACCTGGTCGCAATGCTGTAACAGAGGGCGAAGCTAGTCATCTAGGAGACTCTGCTAAGAGTCCGTGAGGAGGTTCCCCACAACGGCGCCCGGGAGGTAGGAAGTGAGGCGGCGTGGGAGAAGGTCGTTGAGAAGGTCCTGCGCGACTATGACAGATGGACAAGGGGCGATGCAGAAGTACTGGACTGTGAAGTTTAGTCGGGGCGATGATCCGTTGGTTCTCGCAGTATCTCTGACAAATCTTTTGCGACGCGCATTACCCACCTTGAACGGAGATTCGCGAGAGCAGTTGCTGGCTTTCCAGTTTATCGAATGCATCTCTATGGATATAGCTCATTAGTTCCAGCTATTTAACGCAGCCCAGCCGATGGATGTTCACGAAATGGAAAAAGGTCGCAAGGCAACTAATGACTGCGTATGTTGCTCCAGTGGTGACGGAGTCACAAGAATCGAAGAACACTGTAGACCAGATTGAAGAGTTGAAATAACAGGCGGCGGCTATGCAGACACGAGAAAGACATAACAACAGATGTTTCGCTTTCGGGGGAACCAGTCACTGGCAGAGAAATTGCCCATTACGAAGGCTGATAAACTTTAAACGATACAGTCTCCCTTCATTTCCTCGCCTGCATTTAGGGTTGTGGAATTAGTCAAAAGAGGTGTCGTGTACAGAAGACTGCAGGCTAATGAAAGAGAACTAGTTTGTTTAATTAGTACAAGGTTAGCATTTTCACTGATAGGTAGAGGACAGTGGAAGGAAATAAGGACGTGC